GGGGGGGGGGGGGGGGGGGGGGGGTACGTGCTCGTGTATGTGTATGTGTATGTGTGTGACTGAGTGTGGTGTTGCAAAGGGAATGGGGAAGAAGACGATGTCGGCAAAAAGAACGTTTGTGTTTCTAAAATAACGTCATTTTGGAAGGGTTTTTTTTATTTTTGACTACAAAATGCGGTCATTTTAATTTTAAAAAATTTAAGAATTTTCCTTCAGCGACGTAAACTAGTCGTCACCGTAATTTTTTTACAAAGACTTATTAGCCACGAAAACTTCAACGTCGAAATTTTAGTTCAATTTTTAATAAGTATATTTTCCAATGATTTATTTATATTTGTCACAAAATATATTTGTCACAAATTATTAACATTTACCGCCATTTTTGTGCCATAAAAAAAAAACCAAAGGGAATTGAATTTGTGAAATGATTTTGTGGCATTAGTGTTAACTATTTTGACCTATTTTATTAATCTAATTTGTTGAGCTAATCACTCATAACCATTGAATTAACAGTGGTTCTCATTTTTTATTGAGACCCACTTTCAATTCAATAATTGTTATGAATTAAGTCAACAAATTAAGTTAACAAATTAGATCCCAATAATATTATTGAATAAAAAAAACCAGAATAGTTGTTTGCAACAAAAGTTTCAAATTGTCGCATAAGTATCACTTTTGGAGACATTTTTTATTTGTGGCAAAAAAAAAAAAAAAGCGTGCCAATTTTTTTTTTCCTTATAGTGTTCCAACATGACAATTAGTAAATAAGGTGATTATTAGTAGTTATTAACATGATAGAACCCACTAAGTCCGTATGGTATCCATATTGATGATATTTTCTCCTACAGGATCAATCCTTGTTAAAGTTGAGCTTTGATTTCTACGCCCCTTCCATGGAATTTTATAATGCCTTTTTTCGAACTTTTTTTTTTAACCCTTGGCGGATGGTGGATGCTTTATCCTTTTCTATAGATTCATTATTTAAAAAGTAATGTTATTAAGATATAATTTAAAAATTTAATGATTATTGATGAGCCCAAATTTTGTTGGATTAAGCCCAGTTAATTAAGTAAGCCCAAATTAGTTATAAGGCAGGCCAAACCCAACTTATGGATTCGGTCTAGTCCAAAGTCTAAGGGAGCGCACGTGAGGAGCAATCATCAGGACAATCACTCTCCAAGATCAAAACTATCTCTAATTATACTTATCATAGTTGTGGCTATCCTCCCTGAAAAGTTAGAAACATACCTTCTATAACCACCATCTCAACTATAGCTCTGTGCGTATAAATTGTAAGCTCTCTCCACATGGTCGAGACACATCTATACATCTCATGCACAATTATCTCTCTCATAACTACCAAGAGCATATGCTTATTTTCTCTCACGTACTATTTTATCGTTGCCGTCTTTAAAATGGAGTAGGTTATTTTGACCGAACCACTATATATATGTGTGTTGATCTCACCTTATATTTACTATATTTATTACATATAGTAATTATTCGATAAGTGGTGCATAAATCAACTTTTATGCATCATCAATTATAGTTATTGGATCGTCAGTAGGTCCCAGTATTTGATATTGTCCATTATCAATGTAATGGTTCTAATGCATTAAGTTATTAAATTATGTCTCATTATTAGTGTTATTTAAACATTCTAATAAGTTATTATTCTCTGATCTAAAAAAAAAATGTTATTCTTCATTCTAATAAAGTTTTACTTATGTACATTAAAATTTTATAAAAAAAGTTGCTTTCAGTCCTTGGTCATATCCAATTTGGTGGAGAGTGTTAGGTGGTACTTCTTCTCGTCATCAACCTCAGAGAGAGTACCGAGGCTAATTATTTGAATGATAAAATGATGTTATAATAGTGGGAAGCGGAGACGATATTACTGCAAAACATGGCTTCTGCAATTTTCTGCATTGGACTCATACTTTTCTCTCTCCTCCTCCTTCCATGTGAAGCCCATGAAACCATACAACCCTTTGAATATATATACCAGTTGGGAGATTCATTGGCGGATACAGGGAACCTTATTCGCCAAAGCGCCACCGGCAAAACAGTAGCTGCTGCCCATCTGCCGTATGGCGAAAGCTTTCTTGGCAGGCCCACCGGACGCTGGTCTAATGGCCTTCTCATTATAGACTTCGTCGGTAAGCCCACTTACACATTATTATATTACTCCGATTTATCCCTTCATAGGCTTCATCAGTAAGCTGGTTTACGGCAAAACCTGACATCAGTGTTAACTATTTCTTGGGATTAGCTCGAGAAACTTTTTTTTTTTTTTTCACTGTCAAGTATATTTTGATTAATTTACACATACTTTGATTAATTTTTTTTTTCTGATCAGATCAATGACAAATTATTTACGCCAAAATTTGATTATTCATGATAAATAAATTCCTCTTAATGCCTATCTTCGACTTTAGAATGTGTAGGATGGACAGAAAATGTAATATGTTCTAATGGAAAGGCTAAGGACGAATCTATGAAAAATAATAAGCCACCATATTAAAAACGTAGTGTATGTTGCTATAGTTGCTTGCAAGTATAACAATACAACCACCAAATACATGACTTGTCAGTTTGTAAATACTTGGGTCAACATCTTCAACCACCATGCAGCATCTCAATCGGCAATTTGCGCCAAAGGACTATATTTTAAAATATACAGGACTCGTTTGGTAAAATGATTATAAAGGAATTAAATATTGAATTGTACTATTTTTTATTTAATAAAGCCTAATATTTTATTTGGTAAGCAAATTTGAATCCTTACTAATTTCAAAAATATATATTAATCGTACATTTATCATATATTTTTATGCAATAGACATGTATTATGAATGTATTTTAATATCACAAAGACAAGTGGAATTATAATTTAACTCAAACGTATTATTTTACATATCTACTATTATAACCCCCCAGCTGATAAAATCAAACTGTCATCAATGTAACAAGCACTGATTGAATGTATTTTTGTTAATTCAACCTTAACATGAAGAAATAATTTCCTAATCAAACAACCGATTGCATTGAATAACTACTATCCAATGTTTATATTGTATATTGTCAAACACTAAATAAAATTACTTATTATTCTAATATCCTATTTAATCTTGTATTTTATCTATTTGTATTGTATTAGACTGTATAATTTTATCAAATTCATTCATTTCTAATATAGCAACCAAACGAGCCCATAGGGCTCGTTTGGTTATCATATAAAAAATTAATGGATTAGATAAAATAATTCAATTTTATACAATACCAAAGAATAAAAGACAATTGAGTACGTCTATCAAATATTCTATTAAGTACAATTTTTATAAAATTTTTTGTGTTTAGGTACAAAATTCAAAATGAATTAAAATCTTTTTTACCTAAACACCCTTCCTTAATTTATGCAATCATCATTGACAGTTATTTGAGAAAACAAATATGTGAAGATTAACAATAATAAAGGGAGGTAAAATAAGAGTTTACATAAAGTGAGAAAAAGTAAAAACAAAGGTATTTCGTGCTAAAATATGAAGATGGAGTATGGATGCAAACTACAGGTGAAATATATATATATATATATATATATATATATATATATATACAGTTTTTTCCCATGCCACCAACCTTGCTTCCATGTCATTTGATCAAAAGGAATAAAGTCTTTTACTATGATGATTGATGAAATCCTGAATTTTTCCAAAAAAAAAAAAAGAGAATCAGTTAAGATGTTTTGTTAGATATTATGTATTGTTCGTCGTTGAGATATAAGAAAAAAAGAACTTCTTTATTTTTTTAAATGGGTGTAACTGTTTTTTAATTTGTATAACTGTTTTTTAGTGGGTGTAACTATTTTTTTAATAAGTGTAACTGTTTTTAAATGAGTGTAAATGTTTTTTTAATAGGTGTAACAATCACAGTCTCATGCAATTGTTACGGCTTAATGGTGTAACGATGCCGCAATACTAAATGGTGCAACTATTTAGTTTATATAAACAATTGAATGACAAATTGAGTTTATGTTATAATTTTGTGTAATTGTTTTGTGTAACTGTTTGGTCTATTGGAACACATGAATAACTGTTTGGTATATTACATGACAATTGTAACTGATTGATGTAATTGATTAGTGTAATTGTGTTGTTGTAATATTAATACAAATAGAGTAAGAGAAAATAGACAGAGAGAGAAAGAGAAATTGTTAGAAAAAATATGCCCTTATTTTACCTCTCATTACTTAATTAGCCAAAAAAAGAAAATAATACAAAAAGGTTTCCATCCATTTGTTGTTTACCCATGACAATAGTGGTTTTTTTTTAAAAAATATACACTTTATCCCAAATTAGTTTTTAACTTGTACTTTTCTCCAAATAAATCTAAAAAATTATACCGAATTCTAAATTCTCCAATAACATAACGGCGCTCTAAATCATTCAAAACTAGGATCCAACGTGTGCAAGCGGGCTTATTCTTGTCTTTCTTCTGAGACTTTTCTTCTGTGGCTGGAGCCTTGACAATTGACGTTGTCTTTCTAAGCCTTTAAAAAGCTAAAAGCCTTTTTAATTTGCCGTCCGGTATTTTATGTGGCAGGCTTTCAAATTCCTTTTGCACCATTTTTTTAAGAAAAACAAAAATAATCTTTGGATTTCTCGCATCCAAAATTTCTGAATTTGGGGCCGAATAGGCAGCGAGGATTCAACAACATTTTCTATAAGAATGTAAGGTCGAACATTAAGTTAAAAAAAATATTATTTAGACCTAATTTAAAGATATAGTGATATACAACTATTGGATCGATTGTGGGCTTCATCTAATATTGTAACTCACAACTAATCTAATTGTTGCATTAAAATCACATCATTAGATCTCGAGATTAAGTCTTCAAATAAGATTCCTATAGCATTGCTCTTAAGATAAATGTTGCGGTGGAATCTCGATTGTACAATTATTGTCACGCTATTGATTTTGCTCAAATTCAGATTATTCAAAAAATTCAGGTGTGTGTAAACATGTTGTAAAAACAAAAGCTTCACGATTACAACTAATAAGTGAGGTTTCCAAGCGAAATACACAGTCAAATATTACCGAGAAAAATACAACTAACATCAAATGTTAGATATATTCCCAGTTCACGCCAATCAACACTCCAAACCGGGTAAGTATGTGCATGTGTGCTCGCTTGAATATTTATGGGTGTGTGTGAGTTTGTATGTGTTTTTGCAGAACATTATACATGGCTAAACTTATTTANACCGGGTAAGTATGACGTACACACGAGCGAACTTATAAATACCCACACACACTCAAACATACACAAAAAGCAGAACATTATACATGGCTAAACTTATTTATGTGGCGGATGATTGACAGCCATAGCTCTTTCTCTCCCACTGCTCAATCCTTATCTCGAAAGCAACGCCACATTCGATCATGGCGCCAACTTTGCAGTAGCCGGAAGTACAACATTGGACTATACTTTCTTGACCACAATGGGCGTTTATAATCCAACGACTAATATTTCCTTAGGTGATCAGCTTAGCTGGTTTAAATCCCACCTCAACACCATTTGCCACACACCAGCAGGTTTGTCTAGTTTGTTCCTATTCTACAGTTGTTTTAAAACTTTATTCCCCAAATACCGTGACTTATATCTAAACTATACTAGTTTTTTGTGAAACCGTGGCTACATCTACGCTTTTCAATGTAAATTCTGCAAAACACGCTTTTGATAAAAAAAAGAAATTATTTTTAATCATGTTTTTACATTGAAAAAAATTTCCAACTACGGTAGTTTCAAAAATAAGTTGAAAAAGGATGATATTGTGGGAAACAATTTAAAACATAACGGTTTTTTGATCAATTATACTAGGTTTGTCATTATTTCTCCTAACATCGTCAACAGCAACTCACTGAAGCTATGACTAAAATAAGGTTCAAAAACTGGAGACCGTTTCTAACAAATTGGGATAACTCGACCTAATTGAGCCGTGATTTGGCTTGTTGGAGTCGTAGTTAAAGCTAATTGGAACCTGCNGGTCAACAGATACCCAACATAATTAATATAATAGAAAAGACCACAATACCGATTCCGTATTATGTAGAAAAAAAAAGAAGTGGGACAAGTTGCAACTCACTGAAGCTATGACTAAAATAAGGTTCAAAAACTGGAGACCGTTTCTAACAAATTGGGATAACTCGATCTAATTGAGCCGTGATTTGGCTTGTTGGAGTCGTAGTTAAAGCTAATTGGAACCTGCCTTTGTATACGGCATCGAACATCAAAAAGTTCCTTTTGATTCCATGGAAAATCTTGTAACTGAAATTGCCTGACTTTCTTTTTTTCCCTTTTTCATACATTACTTCAGAATGTGAGGAACTGCTCAGCAAGGCTCTTGTCTTCGTGGGAGAGATCGGAGGCAATGACATTAACTATCCTTTCATGCAGGGCAAATCCATTCAAGAGATTTACACTTATCTGCCATATATGATAGAGGCCATTACTAATGTTGTTAGAGTAAGTTTATAAATGAATATTATCACAGTTTAATTATTTTCAACCTTCACCTAATGCAGTTATTAGGCAATACAATGCATGAAACTTCCACCACTACGAAGTTTCGTAGTGTCCTGCAACGGAGAAACTGTTTTGGAAATTTGAGAAATTTTTTGCAATTCATGTAATGCAGGGTTTATATACCATAATTCACATTGATGTTATTAGCATATTGTGCAGGAAGTGATACACCTTGGTGCTGTAAATATCATAGTTCCCGGAAATCTTCCAATAGGATGCTTACCGGGCTTCCTAACAACCGTCTCTGGTGGTGATGCGACAACATATGACACTATCGGATGCTCAAAAGAATTAAATGAGCTAGCATTGGTTCAGAACAACTATCTCCAGGACTCTTTAGCCTTGCTCAGGCTTGAATTTCCTCGTGCTAATATAATGTATGCCGACTACTATGCAGCTTACCAAACAATTCTTTGGCATGCAGCTGATTTAGGTGAGTAGTTCACCAAAAAAGGGGAAATCCCCACGCTCTTACAACTTGATATATGATCTTGAATGATTTTAACAGTTAAAATGCCATATAATGCTTGTTTGTGTAGGGTTCAACCCTAAAACGTTGTTAAAATCATGCTGTGGAATTGGAGGGCTATATAACTACGATGAGAACAGGAAATGTGGGTCTCATGGTGTGCCTACTTGCCCTAACCCAGGTCAATACATAAGTTGGGATGGAATCCATTTGACACAAGAGGCATACCGTCATATTACAAAAATTCTCCTAGCCGATATCTTTCCTACAGTGCAATCCATTTAGTAGATTCGACTAAAACAAGTTTTTTGAAGTCTGTAAGTAAAAATTGGACTTTTTTCTATTGAGATGTAAAGAGGTTAAGATGTGTGTGTCATTGTACAAAACAATTCACTCATGAAAGTACTGTGTGACCTTTACCAATTTGTGATAAAGGGTATCACTGTAATATTTGCAAATGAAAAGTAATCCCCTTATTCATTTGCTTGGCACAACTTTATCTAAGAGCTGTAGTAAATCCTAGACCTGGTAATCGTNTTGTGTGACCTTCACCAATTTGTGATAAAGGGTATCACTGTAATATTTGCAAATGAAAAGTAATCCCCTTATTTATTTGCTTGGCACAACTTTATCTAAGAGCTGTAGTAAATCCTAGACCTGGTAATCGTAAAAGACTAAAGGAGTTACTTGGTCGAGAGTCTCGTATCGTGAATATATGGAATGTCCGCTCATTAAGAATAAAAAAATGGATTGGTTTTGATTCAAGAGCAAAAGAAGAAGCACATTGTTACAATGTCATGAGAAATAAATGAGGGCAACGTTAGGTAGTTGAAAGCCAGCATAAAACTTGGCACACCTATATGGACACAAGGTAACATCGTTGCTATCAAAAAGAGGAGAAAAGTTCAATAGAAAGCAGCAATGGAATTAAGTAACACATGGAAAAATAGTTGNATGGATTGGTTTTGATTCAAGAGCAAAAGAAGAAGCACATTGTTACAATGTCATGAGAAATAAATGAGGGCAACATTAGGTAGTTGAAAGCCAGCATAAAACTTGGCACACCTATATGGACACAAGGTAACATCGTTGCTATCAAAAAGAAGAGAAAAGTTCAATAGAAAGCAGCAATGGAATTAAGTAACACATGGAAAAATAGTTGCAACTAATACACACCATCCAACACCACCGATTAACATTTCCATTGATAAATTAACAATAATAGATCATCTCTTCNTGCAACTAATACACACCATCCAACACCACCGATTAACATTTCCATTGATAAATTAACAATAATAGATCATCTCTTCAATAGTTTCAAATGAAGATGAACAAAAAAGTGGAATAAAAATCATGATCAATCAATATTGACCCCAGTCTAGTAACCCTGAACTTACATCGCAGAATAAGTTTGACATGAGAGGCATGATCTCATAACAATTTGGTCCCAACCACAAATAAGCACTGGATAATAGTTGAAACCAACCAATAACTAAAACCCTGACGTCTTACTGACATTAAAATTTACTCACGGTGTATACTTCAACCTACTATCCTAACACAATAAACAACTTTTATAACCTATTAACTATAACACAGGCCTCCGATTACCATAACTCAGAATCCAAAGGGACCATGCTGGTAAGCGTGTAAAAATACGGATCTAATGAATAAGAATGGGGTTGACAAATATAATTAAATTGAAACGTTGATTTGTGCATAAATATTGATTTAGAATCCAACTTTAAGCATGTTGATTTATGCAAAATACTAGTCCTAACTGTTTCAATTGATCTGTTAATGCATAAGAATGTCAAAAGAATTGGAAAAAAAGGATAAAACTCTCTCAATATTATTAATTCACCAGAAAACTGTCAAGTCGTACGGCTACAAGAGTTTAAATAATACTAGAAACCCTAAAACCAACTAGAAAATGTAAAAATGTGGCATAATTATCATAGTCACACAATTTGGGCCATTAAATGTCTAAAACGGTTTTCTCCTTTCAAGGTTTGATTAATCTACTGATTTTAGATATAAGCACCCAAATTATGATAGANGGGCCATTATTACAGATTTTGCCAAAAGAGGAAAGTTCCAAACTAATTAGATGACTAAAATCTAATAAGCACCCAAATTATGATAGAACTGGCGAAAATCATCGCAGACTTTAAACGGTAAAGTCATTTAACTACAAAAAGTTATCAAAAATGACAAAAACGTGTTTTCCAGACTTAAACGATCAAATTTGCCCAAAATTTGCACAGGGTCATAGCATCCTCTTTATGGGCTGCCTTGAATTCACTTCCCCTATTCATTTTTTATTGAACATGGGTGTTTTCAAACCTATGTTTCTGAAAATGACTTTAAAAAAATAACTAATTTAATTAACCCGAACCACTGACTTTTTCAATCCTAGCGATCGACCTAAGTACAGTGTTGCGATATGATATGCATCAGCTAACAAGGAAACATAGAACACCCTTCCTAGTATCTTTCTACCCATAAATGTACAATACGCGGTGGATATTGTAGCCGATCACCAACATCTACTATGAAAACCAAATTCAACCTACTACTCAGCTAGAAGTACCCAAAGCAAAAATGCAGTTGTCAATAAAGAGGAAAATTTGCTTGATATTCAGATGACCAAGACCTTTGGAACATCGACTGGGAATGGGTGAATCTCATCCATCCAAGCCTTCCAAACCGCACTGTTACACTTAAATCCGGGCTCGAATGCAATTTGCCATGTTCTATCTCCCTTTGGCTTCTGAATATGCTAGTTCGTACCAAAGGGTGCTGCTTGAAGTGTTTCCAAATTGGCAAAGCGTCATTCTTGACGGCTCCACCCAGTCCGAGAACTGCAAGTTTTTCTCAGTATAAGAAAATTGAGCAAGTAAATTAAAATAATTTATTGACCATTGTGAAATTTGGATTCACGGTAAACTCTATTAAACATTAGAACTTAGTGTTGATCCAATGATAAAACCATATCATTATGCCATCAAATTAAATCAAATTTTTAAGTCCAAATAATACTACTTAAGAAAATTAATTTTTTGAGAGGAGATTTATTTATTTTTTGCGACGGACCAAAAAAAATCGCAAAAAATGTACTATCTGCAAAGTATACTATCTGTAATGAAAACTGGCGAGAAATTGTAATTTTTTACAACCAATATATTTTGTCACAAATAGTACTAAATTGTTGCAAAAATAAATAATTAAAAATCAAAATAAATATATTAATTGGAGACGTTATTGATTACATCACAATAAATTTATTTGGAAATTTTTATGACGATGTTTTTATTTTGCATACTTTTTTTATATAAATAAAATTAGAGTAAAAAATAAAATAAAAGAATTAATTTGTTACGTTTTTAAAAAAAAATTGTCGCAACGATTAAATTTGCACCGTAGAATGAAAATATTGTATTTCTTAATATAAAACAATGTAGTTTCTACCTTTTAAAAAAACCTCATCTCCAAACGATGTTATTTGGGAAACGTCTCTCTCCTCAATTTTTCTTGAGCTTTTAATCCATGCCAAGGCTTTTTGAAAAAAAAATTCCCAACTAAGAATTGATTTGAAAATAATTCTCAAACACATGGAGTTTTAAAAATATCATTTGGCTTAACGTTTTTAAGTCAAAGGACGTCAATTGGTCTGACGTATTTAGCTTAAAAACGTCAGACCTCAAATGACGTTTTAAAGCTTCTTCTGTGGCCAGTATACACCTCAAAGACGTCAGTCTATTTGAAATTTTTAATTAGAAACGTCAGTTGTACTGACGTGTTTAACCCTCATTCAAAGATGTCTCATTTGACATTTTTAATTAGAAATGTCAATTGTACTAACGTGTTTAACCCCAATCATTTTTTAGATAAGTCCTTAAAAAACGTCAGTTGGACTAACACGTTTGGGAGCAACTTGTGAGCGTCAGACCAACTGACACATTCAAAAATCTCCCCCTATGTCTTTTAAGTAAAGGACTGATCACCGATTGGAATATCTAATGCCTAAATAAAAAAATAAATTAATATTTGTTTGAGTAATTATCATTAGTGACCCCTAAATTATCTCTCAGGTTTTAATGTAGTCCCTAAAATTTTAAATATTTTAATTTAATCCATCAATTATCAATTTTATTTCAATTAAATCATTCCATTATTTTTCATCGCCAGATCAACTGGAGATTAGATCAATTTAATTGATTTCAGCATCAATATAACGATAAAAATAAATAAAAAGACCTAATTGTAACAAAATTGATAGTGGAGGACTAAAATAAGATAAGTGAAAGTTCATGGATTAAATTGAAATTGGAGGTAAAATTCAGGATTAAGTATGAAATTTATAATATTTTTTTTTATAAAATATTATAAATGCATCAAATAAATATAATTTCTAATCAATTTTAATATGATCTTAATTTTTTTTTCGACTTACAATAATATTTTAAAATATCAAACACCAGTCGTTAAAAATGGCAGTGAACCTGAAACAAATGAATATTCCTGCAAATCCACTTCCAACAAAATCTTTTAACTGCCAATGAGTCACTCTACCATAATACATAAAAATGCTTTTATAAAAAATTAATTAATAAATAAATTTTAATAATTTAAAAATACATAAATTTCGTTTGTTTTACTGATATTATTCTCCCTAACAATGATACCTAAAATTGTTTTGCTCCTTCTCTTTTTGAGAGGATGAGTTTTTTTTATTTATTTAAAAATTTAATTACATTCCATAAATAAATTTTGATAATTTAAAAATTCATAAATTTCGTTTGTCCTACTAACGTTTTTCTCACTAACAATGATACCTAAAAATATTTCGCTCCCTCTCTTTTTGAGTGGATGAGTTTTTTTTTTTTATTTAAAAATTTAAGTACATTTAATAAATAAATTTTGATAATTTAAAAATACTTTTATTTTTTAGCATATCAAACTTTAAAAATTAAAAACGTATA